GTCGAGGGAGCTGCGCCGGTGGCTCGCTTTCACCACACCCTGACTCTGCTCCCGCGCCGCGAGGCCGCGGGCGACGACTCGCTCGCCCTGCTCGGCGGGCACGACCGCACCATCTCCCCGCTCCTCGACCTCCGCCTCTTCTCCCTCCGGCACGCCTCCCTCCCGCGCAAAGCAAGCGGCGTAGCGGCCGCCTCTGTCTCCGTTGGCTGGAGCAGATCTACGCACGTCCTCGGGCCGGCGCCGTCGCCTCGCGCCTTCCACTCCGCGGCCCACTACGACCACCCCGCCGCCGGGAGGGGCCTCCTCCTCGCTTGCTGTGGGCTGGGGCCTGCGGCGGTACCATCTCCCCATATCTCCCCATACCTCCTCCTCGCCTGCTGCGGGCTGGGGCCTGCGGCGGGGGGCGGGGAGGGGGGGTACGCGGCCCTGTGAAGAGAGGAGCTGTGAGCAGAAGAGCTGTGAACAGGGCGGGGAGGAGGTGTTCGCGGCTCTCGACGACACGTGGGCCTTCGACCTCAGCTCCGGTCGGTGGCTCGAGCTGGCCGCCAGGCTGCCGCATGGCTTCGCCCGCTCCCGCGCCGCCCTCGCCGTCTCTCGCGACCGCCTCCTCCTCGCCGGAGGATGCAGAGCCCGGTACGATCTCCCCACATCTCCCCACATCTCCCCATACCTCCTCGTCGCATACCTCGCCGGAGGCTGCAGAGCTTGGCCCGCCGCGCTGTTGGCCACCTCCCTCCCACGCTCCCCCCGACCCTGACCCGAGCCCGCTCCTCCTCTGCCCGGTAGGGCTCCCGCCCTGGCGACCTACCTCCCCCTCACGCCGGGCCCCGCCTTCGACGACGTCTGGCTGCTCGACCTGAGGAGGGCTGTGAACAGAAGGGCTGTGAATAGAAGGGCTGTGAATAGGTCTGGCTGCTCGACCTGAGGAGAGGTCTCCTCCAGTCGGAGCTAGGACCTCGCCCTGCGGCTGCCTTGGAGAGTTTGCTACAAGCAATCTCTCTCTGTACTCCAATGCACGAGCACTAGGCCTCCGCCCTGCGGCTGTCTCCGCCTGGGAGCGGTGCGTGCTCCCCCACGAGCGGGCGCACCGCACGCCACACGCCAACGCCACCGCCGGCACGCTGCACGGCGGCGCCGTGGTCCTCGTGCTGGGCGGGCACGACACCTTCCTCTCCCCGCTCGCCGACGAGGCGGTCGACTCGTTTGGCGACCTCGCCGACGAGCAGGCGTGATCCCCCCATCTCTCCCCACCTCTCCCCACATCACCCTCGCCGACGAGCAGGCGTGATCTCCCCATCTCTCCCCATCTCTCCCCACATCACCCTCGCCGACGAGCAGGCGTGATCTCCCCATCTCTCCCCATCTCTCCCCACATCACCCTCGCCGACGAGCAGGCGTGATCTCCCCATCTCTCCCCATCTCTCCCCACATCACCCTCGCCGACGAGCAGGCGTGATCTCCCCATCTCTCCCCACCTCTCCCCACATCACCCTCGCCGACGAGCAGGCGTGATCTCCCCATCTCTCCCCATCTCTCCCCACATCACCCTCGCCGACGAGCAGGCGTGATCTCCCCATCTCTCCCCATCTCTCCCCATCTCTCCCTCGCCGACGAGCAGGCGTGATCTCCCCATCTCTCCCCATCTCTCCCCACATCACCCTCGCCGACGAGCAGGCGTGATCTCCCCATCTCTCCCCATCTCTCCCCACCTCTCCCCACATCACCCTCGCCGACGAGCAGGCGTGATCTCCCCATCTCTCCCCACCTCTCCCCACATCACCCTCGCCGACGAGCAGGCGTGATCTCCCCATCTCTCCCCACCTCTCCCCATCTCTCCCTCGCCGACGAGCAGGCGTGATCTCCCCATCTCTCCCCATCTCTCCCCACATCACCCTCGCCGACGAGCAGGCGTGATCTCCCCATCTCTCCCCACCTCTCCCCATCTCTCCCTCGCCGACGAGCAGGCGTGATCTCCCCATCTCTCCCCACCTCTCCCCACATCACCCTCGCCGACGAGCAGGCGTGATCTCCCCATCTCTCCCCACCTCTCCCCATCTCTCCCTCGCCGACGAGCAGGCGTGATCTCCCCATCTCTCCCCATCTCTCCCCATCTCTCCCCACCTCTCCCCACATCACCCTCGCCGATGAGCAGGCGTGATCTCCCCATCTCTCCCCACCTCTCCCCACCTCTCCGCAGGCGTGGGCGCTGCACGAGACCGAAGCGATCGTCGTCGGCGAGCGGCCGGAGCGAACAGAGGCGCGGCTCTGCACGCGAGGGCTGTGAAGAGAAGAGCTGTGAATGGAAGAGCTGTGAACAGGCGCGGCTCTGCACGCGAGGGGCGCCGCACAGTTATGGGGAGGGGGGCGCCTCGCCCTCTCGCCGCCAGCTCGTCGGCGGCGCGCGGATGCTCGTCCAAGGCCTCGAGACGCAGGTGCAGCAGCGGCCGGTGCAGCAGCGGCCGGGAGGACCGACCGACCGCTTGCGGGAGAGAGAGGCACCGCCAGGACCTGTCGCGGCACGATCCGCAGGCGCACATCAACGGCTCCATCGGCACGGTCGTCTCGCGCGCTTCCGGCTCCGCGGACGGGCGCGTCGATTTGGCGCTCGGCCCGCCGCACAGCAAGAGCATCTCGATCCGGTGCCAGCATCTCCGGCCGAGCCGTTCCGAGGCGCGAGGGAGCATGCCAACCCTCGCCGCGCTGTGAATAGAAGAGCTGTGAATAGAAGAGCTGTGAATAGGCGCGAGGGGGCATGCCAACTATCGCCGCGCCAGGCGGCGGAGGAGACGGTTCCGCGCTCTGATCCGTCTCCAACTAGTCATCGATACCACGAGCAGGAAGGCCGACTCTCCTTGTTTGGTAGGCTCCGCGCTCTGGGTCATCTCCCCGGCGGAGAGAGCGGCGGGCGAGGGGCGGGCGGCCGAGGCGCCTTCCAACCCGCCCCGCCGCGTCGCCGTCAGCTGCATCTCGGTGCTGCCGCAGCCCGAACACGAGGGGTCCGCTTGAGTGGTGCGATTAAGTCAGGCAGCGTGGGTAGTAAACTTCTCTGCTCCACACACACAAGAGGTGGTGTGGGGGGCAAGGCCCCCAACGGCAACGCCCAAGAGCGCCCGCGCGCCGCCTTTCGTGGTCTTTGTACAGGGGCTACAGCATATTCCAAAGAGAGAGAGGGCCGAGGGCGAGGCGTCGCTCGAGACCGGGAGCCGGGAGGGTGTGATCGCGGTGTGTAACTGTACGTAAGCTATTACGTATGAGCTGTGCATGCTGCGCCCGCGCGGTGGCGGGCGGCGCGAGCGCTGAGCTCTTCAGCATGCGTTCGCCTCTTCCCACTCACGAATCTGCCGGCGCAGCGTGTGTGGTTGGGGGCTAGGAAGCTTTGCACGAGCGCTTCGCCCGTCATCGGGCTCGTCGACTTGGTCGCGAGCCAGCGCTCGATCGCCGACCGCTCGTACGAATGCCCGTCCGCCGCCATCACCGGGTCACTCATGAGCTCGGTCGTGATCGGGCAGATGAAGTCGGCCGGCGGCTCCTCCTCCCTCGGAGCCGGCGCCTCTGCAGCCGAGGACGGCCCTTGCGCCTCCGCCGCCCGCCTCCCCTCCTCCAGCCTCGCGCTCTCCTCAAGCGCCGCCGCAAGCTCCGCCTCCTCCGCCGCCGCCACCGCCTCCTCTTCTCCCTCTTCCGCCGGCGCCTCGGCCTCTTGCGACGTCCCAGCGCCTCCCCCGCCGCCCTGCTTCTTCTTCTTGCCTCTCTTCTTGGCCTTCTTCTTCTCCTCGGCGCACTTCTCCGACTCCTCCTCCGCCAGCAGCGCCGCCGCAGCCTCCTCGGCCGCCCTCTCGGCCTCCACCCTCTCGGCCGCCGCCCTCTCCGCCACTGCCCTCTCCACCTTCGCCTCAATCTCCGCTCTCTTCGCCTCCCTCGCCGTCGCCTCAATGGCACGCTCACACTCGGCGTGGCCCTCCTCCTTAGCCAGCTGCAGCGGTGTACGCCCGCCGGAGGTGCGCGCCGCTGTGTCAGCGCCCGCCCGCAGCAGGCAGAGCACGACGGCGGGGTGGCCCTCCTTGCACGCAACGTGCAGGGGCGTGCAGCCGCCGTTCTGGGCTTGGTCGACCGCCGCGCGAGCCTTGGTTGCAGCGAGAAGCGGCGAGAGACTGCGAAAAGAGATACGAAGAGGCAGACTCCCCAGGGTGGGCGACGGCTAGCGCATCACACTCCTCTCCTTAAAATCCCTGTGTGGTGGCGGCGTGCCGTTCTCATCCCTCCCTTGGGTTGTCTGTTTTCTTTCTTTTTAGGCGACCCAGCTGAATGATGCGTGATGGCGCGGCTCATCCTCAATAATGGCGCCAGGCGAAGAAGAAAACGCCAATCGTTCTTATTCTTTTCCTGCTACAATCAACAATGTCAATGAGTGCTGGTTTACGTTATATACGTGTACCCTTCCCTACGTTTCTCCGAGACTTATATACCCGTCGCCCCCGCCCGCTTCGCTCGCTCGCTACGCCGGGCGCTCCCCTCTCTCTCCCTCCACACGCGCTGCAGCATCTCGTAGTCCTCCCTCGTGTCCACGCCGCTGCGTGCGGACTGTACCTCGCCGACGAGGATGGCCATCCCCGCCTCGAGGGCCCGCATCTGCTCGAGCTGCTCGAGCGCCTGGCTCGGAGAGAGGGAGAGAGGAGTCTCGGAGAGAGGGAGAGAGGAGTCTCGGAGAGAGGGAGAGAGTTTTCTCGGAGAGAGGGAGAGAGGAGTCTCGGCGGTGCCTCCAGGCGCGAGGGAGGCAGCTCGACGAAGCGCTGCAGGGAGGGCGGCCGAAAGGCGTACAGGCCGACGTGTTGCTGCGCCGCGCACTCGCCAGGGTTCGGGCCAGGGTTCGGGCCAGGGTTGGGATCGGCTGCTCCGCCGCCCCGCAGCAGGAGCGAGGCGAGGGTCTGCCGGTCGACGCCGATGGGCGCGCGGCTGAAGAAGAGCGCGCGCCGGCAGGTGGCTCCCTCCGCGCCACCGCCCGACGGACCTGCGGCGCCTCTGCTCACCGGAAGAAGGCCCTCGCTGTGCAGCGGCGGACCGCACACCACCTTGACCTTGCTCGGGTCGAGGAGCAGCGCGGCAGGGAGAGGCGTGCTCAGCGTAGCAATGTCGGCCGTCGGGTGGGAGAGCAGCAGTCGCGCCGACGCGTCGATCGCCGACGGCTCCACGAGCGGCTCGTCGCCCTGCACGTTGACGACGACGTCCGCAGTGGCCGCCACGTCGGCGCGCAGGCGAAGCGCCGCTGCGACGCGGTCGGTCCCCGACGGAAGCGCACTGTCGGTCATCACCGCCTCGGCGCCAGCTTTCTCCGCAGCGGCGGCGATGCCTTCGTGGTCGGTCGCAACGAGCACTCGTTGCACCGTGCTGGCGGCGAGCGCAGCGCGCACGACGTGCGCAATCATCGGCTCGCCACCGAGCATGGGGAGCAGCGCCTTTCCTGGCAGCCGCGTCGACGCGAAGCGGGAGGGGATGACGGCGATAACGCGGCCCATGCACCTCTAGTGATGGGGCGCGACGCTGAGGCGGGCCAAAAGAATTTTACAAAACCAGGTCGCAGAACACGATTCACGCGACAGGCAAGGCACGGGCGACGGCTTCCTCAGAAGCCGTCGTCCTCAAAAGAATTTTATACTCGGGAATTTTGCGCTCATTCGCTGAGTCAACCCGACGCGACAGAGGAGGAAATGACAAGGGAGAGAACGACGAGAGTGGGACGACCGCGAGGTGGCATGAAGGTTGCAGCGAGAATCGGAGAGAGACTGCGAAGAGAGATAGGAAGAGGCAGACTCCCTAGGGTGGGCGACGGCTAGCGCACCACACACCTCTCCTTAAAATCCCTGTGTGGTGGCGGCGTTCCGTCCTCCCATCCCTCCCTTGGGTTGTCTGTTTTCTTTCTTTTCTTTAACCCGTCGCCCGACTCACTCTCCGCCCGCCAGGACCGCCTCCGCTGACTCGTCCGGCTATGAAACCGATACGCCGGACGAGGTGCAGCAGGGTATGCGGCGCGCTCGGCATGAGGACGCAGTTCGACGCGGCGGTGGCGGCGGGCGAGCTTCTCGAGCTGCTCGAGAGCTTGCCGCGAGGAGCGGTCGAGGCCTGCAAAGCCGAGGGCGCGAAAGAGAGCCGAGGATGCGACAACCTCAGCCCCCTCCTTGTCCGCAAAGCCATCGAACAGTTGTACCATCGCGGTCAGCGCGGTGACTTGGACATCCATCTCGGCCCGCCGCGTCGCGTCTCTGAGAGCGCGCAGGATGACGGCGGCAGACGTGGAACCGCTTGCGCCGCCCGCCTCGGCCTCACCCTCACCCTCAGTACCGGCCGCTTCGAACGGCTGTCGGGGAGCGGCCATTGGCAGCGCCTCGAGATCTTCGGGGTAGAGTGACCAAAGCTGCGCGAGAAGCTCCAGCGCCAGCGACCGCGTACTCGCCACCTCCGACCCCTCTCGCAACGCCGCCAGGCCGAGTTGCACAAGATAGAGGAGAGTCTTATCGCAAGCCGGTTCCTCCCTCTCCACGTCCGCTGCGTGGAGCAGCGGCATGACCTCGAGTGTGAAGGAGAGATAGGCGGTGGTGTCGCCGAGAGCAGAGGGCAGTGTCGACGTGAAGAAGAGCAGCCGCGACTCGGGGCCGAGATCGATGCACGGGGGGACAAGCGGCAGCAACGAGCCGATGGCATGCAGGTCCGGGTGAGTCCGCCACGCGCCAACGAGCGCTGCCAGCCCCTGCGCGTCGAACCAATCGGCCAGCATCTGTGGCTGCACGACGGTTAGTCTGGTTGCGACGTGCGTCAGGAGTCGCGCGCCCCAGAGCACAGCGTCGGCACAGGGAGCCGCGAGTGAGTGGCTGAGCAAACCGAGCGCCGGCAAGGTGGCCTCGCGCTGGGTTTCGCAAAGCTGAAGCAGCTGCCGGCGGTGCGCGTAGATGAACTTGAGCCATCGGACGATGAGCTCAAAGTCGCCGCGCAATCCGGTGGAGAGCAGCTTGCCGCCGTGGTCGAGGGTGATGCCAGGGCTGGGCGCGGCGACAACGCCAGCGGCTCGCGCTGCCGGGCCGCATTGCTGGTCAAACGTGACTGCCACAAAGTCCTCGAGAGTGCTGCAGTGCTCCATTGCCTGGCGAATCGCAAAGTGCTAGGCGAGCCCCGCCTGTGCGCGCGCGGCGAGTAGGCCGCGATGAAACCGACAACGCGGAATTGTTTTACAGTTGTACTCTCGATTTGAGCACACGACCCTCAATTGTTGCCGCCCGCAAAATTCACTCACTGGGTCTGCGTGTGACTTCCCCGCCCCAGCCCTCGACCGGGTGGCCGTGGCCTCTACAACTATACGGCCTCTTGCTGCCGGGCCCCAGCGGCCCCTCGTGTCTCTGAGATCTCCGGGGAATATCCTTGCAATAAAAAGTGGCGGCCAAAACCGCAATGAATTTGAAAAACGATGCTCGATGAACGATGATGGCAATTGTTCTGTCACACTGACTGATCCATCAATAATGGAGTTTTTCCCACTAAGGCTAGTTCCAATTCACTCTCACACGCTAACTTGAAAACGCGTCCAACGGAGCTCCGTGTTGCTCCCAGCGCCCTCCCCCGCGCTTCCTGCGGCCATGGCCGATGATACTAGTATGAGAGGTCATCTGGCTACCGCGAGCGCGACTCAACTCGCCGACGTCGTCCGATGATTGTGCCTCAAAGTCAGCCTCCGGAGGCTATCGTGGGGTCGAGCCGGCGGTAGCCATGACATGTGGTTCCACCACCCCTCGCAGGCTTTGCCTCTGACCGCCACCGTTCCCAGGCTGCCTAGTGGGATGGAAAGGAAGGCTGGGCGAGCGTATAGAAGCGTGCTCGACCTCGTCGTGGCAACCTGCACGGCAGCGCTGGTAGGCGCGATGAGCGTCGTGCCACCTGACCCAAGACGGGTCGCAGGCGTCGTACCGAGCGTGTCGAGACCGTGTCCTGATGTGATCTGCACGGGTGAGTCACGTCGGCGTCAAAGGAGCGACGTGCGACCTGTCAGAGCTTGATCTCCGATCTCAGCGGCGTCGAGTCGTCTCCGGCGCGCGACAAAGGTACATACCCAGGACGCGCAGAGGCAGTTTGAGAGCGGAGATCAAGGACTGAGAGGTCGCACGTAGGCCCGTTGACGCCGATGTGACGCACTTGTGCAGATCACATCAGGACACGGTCTCGACACGCACGGTAAGACGCGTGCGAACCGTCTTGGGTACAGGTGGCACGAGGCTCATCGCGCGTACAAGCGCTGCCGTGCAGGTTGCCAAGACGAGGTCGAGCACGC